ACAGCGGCCGATTATAAACGAATTTTTCAACAGAAGAGTAAAACACTGAAAATGTGTGAACACGTAGTAACGCCGCCAGGTCAATGATGGTAAAGGAATGCACCACGCTTGGGAGATCTTGCCAATTTTACAATCGACAGATGTTGGAAGATAATCGAGAAAAAAAATTCAGAGACATAACACGAGACATTTTCAGCATATTCAAAATGCGTCGAATCACGAACCTTGTCGAATCAGTTATCACGAGAGTGCTGCATCATTTTCTCCTCATCTGTTAGTTTGCTCTCCTGTTCTTTTGCTTGCATCATTACGTCTTCCATATCATCATCGTCCCCGTCTTCCGCAAGCCCGTTCATGTGCTGAAAATTTTTTTATGACATATCAGAGAAGACTGCAGAGCGTCGCATACAAGCGAAATTCTTTTTTCGAATTCCGAGTTCAAGCTACAGTCTACTCCTGAGCTTTGGAAAGCCGACGTCTTGCTTCAGGAAAAGCCTGTTCAGAATCGTTGCTCCCTCATAGCCCCTCAAACACGGTGAATTCACCCTCAAAGCTGAATTTTGGAAAAATTTTTCTTGCTATTGTTCATTACTTGTAGGCACATAAATAACACTAAAGCGGAATTTGGAAGCTTCTCTACCACAAACTAAGAAAATGGAAAGGTTTGAAAATTGACAGCGTCTCAGTTTTTTTTAGCTTATGTCGGAAGGATGCCAAATTCCTCAGTTATGTCGAAAAAGAAAACTTCAGAGAAATCGGTGAATCGAGGCATTTGTGTGCTCATAAATATACTTCCAAAATTGGATCGAGATACAAAAGAGAGCATGCCATTGTTTGCGAGGAGCACATTTTCATCCCTTTTGCACGTGAGAACAAGATTTCGTTGAAGAATGACGTGGCGGGAAGTCAAAAGAGAATTACTGACAGCTTTCAAGGAGCAACTGGTTACGTGCCAGGAAACCAATCATTTCAACACCACTGGATTCGGTACAGAGAGATGAGCCCACTGCGACATAGATCTTTCCATTTTATCCCACAACTGGTGACAACCTTTTGCCGTTGACAAACTCGTATAGGGGTTCTACCTTGTCGTGGTGTACGAGCTTGAGGCGGGGTCGGAATATTCGTCAGAATAGGGTTGCGCCGAAACCCCATACCGATTCCCGTGACTAAAGAACCCAAAGTGCCCAAGCTCCTTGGTGGGACGGCGCTCTCCTTGAGCAACAGGGAACGCCCTAGTAAGGCTATCCTGTGGGACGAAAATACCACGACCACTTCTTATGTTCGCCTTAGTCCCCTGCAGGCTGTCCTGCCCAGTCAGGTAGCGCTGGATCAGCAAACAGCCAAAGGCGAAGAAATCTCAGGGCCGTAGGCTACCAAAGGAGACGGACAAGAGCGAGCCAACTGATTGCCTGTACCTACAACTGCCGAAGCATCAGTCGGCCGCTCAGCTTAGGGCACTTATTGGTGAAACGCAGCGGATCAGGTACCACATCATTGCTTTGAGAAAGTGGGGAACCACTTTCGTGCACGCAAGATCTCTCACAAGGACATCAGTGGTACCATCGTGCAAGTCTATGCACTGATAGCGGATAGCGATGAAGAGAAGCACGATGATTTCTACAAGCAACTTGCCGAGCTTGTACGCAGCCAAAGTAGCTATGCCGTGGTGATGGGCGACTTCACTATGCCGTGGTGATGGGCGACTTCATGTTCGAAGCGGATCGCGAAAGCTCGACGAAATCTTCATCGGTCCACATTCAGCAGAGGAGCGCAATGAAGCAGGAGAGATGCTAGCATATTCCTGTGAGCTATGTACATCATCTCTACCATAGCAACATCCAATTTCCCAAGGAGCCGCTTAAAAACGTGGACTCACGTCCGAATGGCATACACCACCATGGACAGGGCCACATTCTGCGTAGTCGAAGAGCTATGACTGACGTCATAGTCGTCCCTTCTTTCAATACAGGGAGCGACCATCGTCTGTTACGAGCGCGATTCTACTCCGACCGAGGTTCAATGCGGCTGATTCGCATCTGCTCTAGTCTACCGTTCCCAACAGTTTTGGATGAAGATGCACCCGCAAGACATACAAACGAGGAGCTATTTCCGGAGTTGGATGAGATTAATGCGACAACCAACGTTCAGAGTCAACCCTGCGTTGCGCAGTTCTCAACGGCACGTTGAGAGATCCTCAACGCACGCTGTATGGGCGGAGACGCAGACGGCTCGAGCATGCGAGTGTGAATGTTCGCGCGAGAGAACGTGTCTAATCGGGCGAAACTGCGCAACGTGGCCGTTGAGAGCTGCAACGCACGGTGACTCTGCCAACGTCTCGTCAAAACTGTAGCACGAATTGTACACAGGTGCCGCAGTGTTGCTCCGAATCATAGAGTCGCATTTCTGCTTCAACCTGTGATTTGCTCGAGAAGCGCAAGAATATGGATCGGGCCGCAAAACAAGTGGAGTACACACTAGGGTGAATTCCTAGACGAGGGTTTCTCAACGGGCCTCTTGATATCGCATCAAATTTTCACGTGATTCTGGTATATTTGCTGTTTAACAATTAATCCTGAAATGATTCGCTGGGTCAAATCGCAAGCCTCCCTTGTAACTTATACGTTGAGGAGCGCGCTCTTGCGCCTTTGATTGCGATTCCGAGTTGCGACAAGAATCATGGTGCTGCAGTTCGGACTTTGGGAAGGCCTTACTATTGTTTTAGTCAGGTAATCGTAGGGAAATTGAAATATTTAACAGGCTCTAATTTCGGGTGCACATTTTCAAATTCAACGCAAACTTGACAGTTTTCGCTTCTCAGAGAACAACCTTTCAAAACAGTTTTAGAGTTTGTCCGATCAGATCCTTCGACACGATTACAAGCAAGGATTAGGATCTAATTCATGTGGCAATCTCACTGGAATATCACAGTAGGGATGTGAATGTGGCCACAGGTGGGGAAAAAATGAATAGTGAGAAGCACAGAAAATGCAAACCTTCTACTCTGTCTGCAGAGCCATCTGAAATGTAGACAGCGGAATAAGAGATAATGTGGGTGGCGCAGAGGGCAAAGAAGCCAGAGTCGAGAAAGAGTAGCAAGTAAGCATCACGACACAGATAAGATATCGAATGGTGGGCAGGCAGAGATCGCCTTGCGTGTGAGAGGACCGAAAGCAGGGTCAACCGTCACGTTCGTACCTTTCAAAAAATTTTGCAACCCCCAACCCCCTTATGGGGTCTCGATGCGACCCCTCACCATCACCATGAGTCTTAGGAGGCTGGCTCCCCCTAAACGGCACTCCTTCCTCCCCACCCCGATCACCACCCTCACCACCATGGCTGTTTCTATAGTGTTTGATTCCGAGACCAATCGACACATCCAACCAACTTCACCCTACTCTGGTAACACTTTCGCCAAAGTACCTCGAAAATCCGTCAATCCGTCGAACACAACTCAATTTCACAATCTCTACAACCCTTACCCAGGTACTCAAACTTAACAAACCCCGAATGGCTACACCCTTTCCAAAATGGCAAGTGCACTTCCCGTCGCAAATGGACGGTGACCCTGGATCGAGTCCGCTAGCGTTATCGGCTTGTTTGGAGAACCGAAAGCGGTTCCGTGCTGTGGTAGAGCAGGCCACCTGTATCCATTGAACGACTTCTTATGAAGGGCACAGATCATTGCCTTGTGAAGTAAGTAGCCAACCTCACAGCACCTTCTAACAAGGCTTGCTTTTGCGTTATGAGCATTATTCGACCGCCAGAAGTGGGCGTATTTCATTCAATGCCACTATGCACAGCACAGACAGAAGCACGTGAACTCACTTTGATGACAGCACGATCAATTCCCTCACTACGTAACGCTTTCTTGAACAGATTCAACCTTCGTTCGAGCATTTTTCTGGCTTTTCGTCTTTCTTTCAGCTTTTTGCCTTCCTCGCGAAGCTCGCTTATCACATTCTGCCAACTAAATGACAAGAATCAGAAGATGGATCAACGTGAAAGTGACAAAACGAAAGCTAGTAAGCGTTTAGCATACCTCTTGTACTCCTTGTTCTTATGCTTAAGCAAGCGCACAGTATGAACCAGCTTCTTTGCGAGCAAAGCTAAGACAGACATCTTGTTCTCTGAATAGAAAAACAACTCAAAACGTACCACTTATTCGGCTCAGCTTTATGTTCTCTCTTCTTTGTCCTACCGTCGAAGACTAAAGTTAAGTGGCTTGATATCACCTGCAGTATGTTATTCTTTCTGATGTGGGAAAGCAAATCTGGTCGTGGATTAAACGACTTCATGAGCGTATAGGACGAGCTGCGTCGCGATCTGGCGGGAACTGAGTTGCAGACCCGACGGTAAAAGGCTAGCCGGGTCGTCCTTGGCACTCGCTTTCTATTATTTCACGGCGAATAACACATGTTACAATTGGTTGTGAGTTTACAAGTTGATTATAGTTTGACTGGAAAGTTGAACGGTTGTGTAATAAAGTGCCTTCATTTTGCGCAGTGGTTTCGTCAACTTTGTCTACACACAGACAAAAAATCCGGTGGCAGTCTAACTCAATCTTCTTTTTGACTCGCACAGTTAATATATTCAGTGTTGAGATCTACAAAAGCCAATAAATAACGGCCGAAAAGTCTCACTAGCGAAGTTAATTAAAAGCAGCCTCACTGATTGTTTTCATTGCTTTTTTCCACAGTCAGCTCAACATCAACAACTTTAATATAGTTCGTTTTCATTCGTTCTGGAATTGTTGCTTTAAGGACGAACAGCACTTTGTTGGTCCCCGAAGTTCACCCACTAATATCTGTGCACACGAATGTTAAACCCTAGCTTCCTTCTTCTCTTGACGTCCTCATCCTAATGCGAAACGCTATCAATGAATTTAGTCACCCCTTCCCATAAAAGAATAGTTTTTGGGAAAAGAGTGTAGTGATCCATTTGTACCTGGCTTCGGCATTGGCTTCTGCTTCTCCTCGAATGACCGCTTCGCTCGCATTCTGAAGGAGCCCACCCAGCCATGACCGTCTGGTATATACTCCTTTTCCGGTGAAGTTGGTGTCTAAGTAGGAAAAATTTGCGTAGATGCTGTAGAACACCACATTAGTGTGAAGTGATGATAAAGAATTTGCAGGAATTTCTCACAAATAATTGAATTAATTGATTTCTAAGAGGGACCAAAAGAAAAATGCGCAGATTTTTCATGAGAAAAACTGTACAGCCATACAACTTTTCCTTTCATAGCGATGAAAGTGCGCGCTTTGACAAGAATTTGATGAGAACACTATTGCACTATATCCTTGAGTGCGGCCCTCACAATAACCTCACAACAAGCGCATGGGATTCTAGCACTAAGATAATAGCGAAAAATGAATTTAGCCCTGATACAGTTGTGTTATTGTCAGACACTAGTTCATAGATCAACACTACTCGAGTATTTTGAACAGCTCTGGGCACCCGCACGTCCAGTTCTGCTTTCAAGGTTTGCCGTGTTATTGACTCTACGCTAGTGTTGCGTTGCTCTGATTTCCATACCTTCTCCTTCCCTCGCCATGTGTTCTCAAAGTATTAGGTTGTAGGGGAAGTCCTTGCGGTTTTCAAAAAATCTTTTTTTTCCTGCTAAACGCCTGCCAGCAACTTGGCTCGTGCATATATAAGGAGAACATATATGTGCAAGTTCAGTATAATTATTAGCTATTACCTGTAGCTTATCACGTTTCTGCAATATGCAACTTTCACAACAGTACTTTCATGACCTTTTACTATACGGGTTGATATTTGGCGAATCAGCAGCCTAATCCAGACGTCGCATTGATGCTGCGTGTGGAGAACGTAGGGTATCCGAATGCGCTGCACAAGGTTGGTCTGAACGCTTCCGCGAGGGAGACTCCAAGCTTGAAAGTTCCACTTGATCGGGACGTGAACTCGAAGTCGACAATGATCGTTTGCGTAAGCTGGTGTGGGCAGACCCAAGGCAAACTGCGCGTGAAGTTGCATAAGTCTCAGGTGTATCCTTTAGCATCACTGCCGGTCACCTGCATCAGTTGGGAAAGGTGCACAACCTGGGACAGTGCGTACCCCACAGCTTGACCGAACACGATTGTCCGCAACGTGCCGAGGTGACTAATGAATGGCTCTCGTACAGGCGCACGGATGGTTGGCTGAAGTCCGTCGTCACACAGGATGAGAAGTGCTGTCTGTAGGTCAACATCAAGGCCCGCCGACGCTGGGTTGACAAGGGTGACCAGTCTGAGCCGCAACAGAAGACAGGTACTCACCCTTTGGAAGGTTATGATCTGTTTTTGGTGAGACTGCTAGGCATTATCCATTACGAGCTACTGCCGCGCTTGCCGCTACTCTCGCGGCGGACTTG